ATTAAATTTCACTTCTAAAGAGAGAGACAAAGGACCAAGGAACAAGATTTTGTGGGGCAGGGTTGAGCTTTGGTAGTGCCCTGAACCACTGCAGTAGCTAAGATTTTTTCCACTCCTTCTCCCAAGAACCAGCTTTTGTCCACTGACAGACTTGCTCTGAGGACTTCATGTTTTGGAATAAGAGAACCTCCTTTTGAACCAGGCATCTCACCGGATGGTTTATTCCATTTGGTTCTCCCAGTAACCTTCCCAGGTCAGTTCTTCTCACCTCCATCACACAGACAGGCAGTCGAAGCTCAGAGAAGTTGAGTGACTTGCTCAGGCCACCTGACTAACATTAACCAGAGGAGCCAGGATTCAAGTCTGGGTGTGGAAACAAGTGCACTGCCTTGACTCTTGTCTTTAGATGTAACTTATACACTGTGAAGTCCTCCCTTCTAAAGGATACATACAGTTCATTTAGTTCAGTAGTTTTGGGTATACTCACAAGGTTGTGCAACCATCACCAATATCTAATTTCAGAACATTTTCATTACCACCCCCCCTCAAAAAAAAAAAAAAATCTTGTGCCCATCAGCAGTCAGTCCCTGCCCCTGCAACCACTCACCTGCTTTCTAACTATAGATTTGCCTGTTTAAATGTTCTGTGTGAGCAGACCCCTATGTGACCTCTAGTTACGGGCTTCTTGGCGTGGTACACTCCAGGTGCCTTCGTGCTGTAGAGGTGTGAGGGCTTCATTCTTTCCATGGCTGCCTGATACTCCATAGCATGCTTTGTGCATTTGGTTTATCTCTTCACCTGTGGAAAGACCTTTGGATTGCTTCTGCTTTTGCTATTAGAGATAATGCAGCTGAGAACATCTATGCACAAGTGTTTTTGTGTGGGCATGTTTTTTAATCTCTTAGATAAACGCTTGCGGGGTGGAATTGCTGGATCTTGTAGTCACTCTGCATCTAACCTTTTCAGGAACTCACACCCTTCCCAAGTGCTGCACTGCTTGACATTTCCACTAGCAGTGGGTCAGAGTTCCCGCTTCTCATCCTCGGCACTTGTTATGGTTTATGTGTTTTTTTCTTATATTCACACTGGTGGTTTGAAGGTGATATCTCATTGTGGTTTTGGTTTGCATTTCCTTAATGACACTGGAGCATCTTTTCATGTGCTTATTGGCATTTGTGTACTTGCTTTGGAGAAATGTCAGTTCAAGTCCTTTGCCATTTTAAAATTAGATTGTCTTTTTATTGTTGGGTTGTAGGAATTCTTAGGCGACTCACAAATGTTTTTTCCTATTTTTGTATGTTTTTCACTTTTTTGATAATGTCCTTTGAAGGACAAAAATGATTGAAGTTCATTTTATTTTTTTTATTTTGTTGCTTGGACTTTGGGGGTCATATCAAATAAACCATTGTCTGTCAAAGGTTCTGATGATTCCTGCATGTTTTTTTTTTCCTGAGAATTTTGTAGTTTTAGCTCCTAAATTGAGGTCTTTGATCTGGTTTATTAGTTTTCCATCCATGGTGTGAGATAGGCCCATCTTCGTTCCTCTACAGTTGGATATCCTGTTGTACCAGCAGCTTTGTTACTTCTTTTCCCACTGAATCATCTTGGTGCCCTTGTCTAAAATCAGCTGTCACACGGAGGTGATTTTATTTCTGTGCTCTCAGTTCTGTCCCGCGGCTCTCTGCGCCTTGCCCCAAGCCAGCTGGGCCTCGACTTTTGGAGCCCAAGTTTCCTGGGTAGTAGGTCCTCTCAGGGCAGACGGGGCTTGACTTGTGCGAGTCCCTCTCATTTCTGGAGGTTGGAATTTATCCTAGCGCTTGGTCTGGCATTATCTGGACAGTCCTTCAGTACTTTTAAGGTGATATTTTATTCATTTAATCCAGCATTTTTTCCTAGTTTTCATTAGGAGTTCTAAAATCATAGCCCACTCACCTTGAAAAATGGAGCTCACAGTGATCCGTCTCTGGTTATGAATTTGGGGCAGTATATCCCTGACAAGATGATTTTGGAGAGTAGGGGATCGTTCATGGCATCTTAGAAGGAGACTAGGATGCTCACTAGGGCCTTTGGAGCCAGGTGATCACTAAGAGAAGCAGCGTTCATTGACTGAGCACTTCCCTCAGCCCCAAGCTTG